AAATATATATAAAATAAGACCAGTTTAGAAAACTCTATGAAAATATTTTAAAATGAAAGCTGGTAACTTTTTAATAAGTGGAATTGCAGACAAAATAGCTTTGCTTTTAAACAGTTCTGAATGGTCATAATATAAGTAGGGAACACTAAAGAAAAATAGCACTAAGCCACTGTACAGACCTTATTAAAATATTTTCCAGACCACCAAACCCAGCAGTGACTCATTGTAAATATTACTTTTCCAAAAGTTACCAGTAAGTTACCAGTAGATACATTATGACAAATATTATCTCATTTGATAATAAGTGTGAGAAGGAGGAGAGGATCATCTTATTTTCTGCTTCAGAAGAGCTATAAAGACCAAACAACTAGTAAAGCATAGGTTTGCCTACTTGATGGATATGTAGAAACTGCTACTGCTTACTGAGGGAAGAACTAGCTTTAGTTAATGAGGTATTTTGGTTCAGCCAACGACTTGAAATGGAAATGGAACAGAACCAGCTCCTCTTCCATCTATGTCTGTCCAGTGCTCATCTCTAGACTCAAAGGCATGACAGTGTTCTGTATAGGAAATACCCTTTGTGAGCTGGAAGGTTAAGAGAGGCCAGTGCTAGAGCTTGGTCCTCACCCCTTGCCAGCTATTATTAGCACCACCTATTAGCACCAGCTGGTAAGACAGTTAAATTCTGCACTCTGAGACATATTGCTGGCAACCAGCATTTCACTCCCAATTCAGAAGAGAGGCAGGAGTGGAAACCTGCCTCAGAATCTCTGATTGCATGTGTTTTCACCCGAGTTAGGGCAGCACAGCTGGCATCTGATGTTTACACTTGTTTGAACACAGTCTGCCATCTTTGAGACTGTTGGCTGAAAGTGTTACTGATATACAGTAGCATTTTGGGGCCAGATTTGTTTTTAAGATGCAACCCCTCTTGATGTCTCCAGAGGCAAAGTAATCTATTAAAGCCCTTTGCTCAGGGCTGTGCCTACAGACACAACCTAACCTTGAATTCGTAAGGCATTATCCAGTTAATTTTATTCAAGATTACGTAGGGAGCTAAACTCTTTCTTCTCAGAATTTCAATGGTTATGTCTTGGGCCAGAGTTTAGAAGTCTCTTACAAATCCTATTTTTAACAGGAGACATCTATCTTACGGCAGTACACATGAATTTCACTCAGATGCAAACCAACTCAAATACCAGTTGGTAAACAGTTTGCATGGTCAGCAAGACCTTCAAAAAGAGTATTTCACCAACATTGCAATCATCCCTACTTGCAAACATTTCTCTGCCCAATCATCAGACTACTATACTTTATCTCTTGGCATGGTGAGATCACTCGTGTTGTAGAACTGCCCAATAAGATAAATGTCTCATTTCTGAATGTAATCAAGAGGGAATAGCCATTGTTTATCCCTCAGCTGCTGCTCAAATACATGCCATCAGCTGTCATGAGTTGGAAAAGAACTATCTTGCACCAGACCCAACAGGGAAATATCAGGCAATTACCTCACTCTGTAGTTTGTATGCATTCTTGGCACACCGCAATCTCACATCATCAGTCAAAGAAGTGTACTGGTGTAGCAGCTGTCTGTATTCTTGTTCACTGACCAAAGACTGGGCTTTCCTGGCATGTACCAAGTTTACCATATCCAGTGGCAGGTGGAAGTGAGTCTTTGTATTCTCAAAACCTTGCTTATATTTCACCTATCAAATTAAAACCAGATCACATAGATATCACAACATAGTAATAAGAATTCAGGTTTTGATCAGAAGAGACAATCTCCATATTTCTTCTGATTTCCAGTATAAATTATTCTTTTAAAAAGTAAGTTCTTTAACTTATTTAACTATACTGTGAATGATCGATACTTAAAATTAGAACATGGGGCAGCCTATTCTTCATCAAAATAGTAGCCATCTACATTATATTCACTTAAGTTGAGATATTATTTATACTGTTTATTTTTGTTAAAACCAGATACATTGAATCTATAAAATTAACAAACTGATAAATGAATTCTTAATTCACTGCATTTCTAGAAAGCACAGCAAAAAGGTGAAGCTACTGCCTGAGGATAAAATGCAAACAGTTATATTTATGTTAGAATTAGTACAAATCCTCAGTCAAAATATCTGTTGGTCTCTATTGATTTGGCCAGTTTCATTTCATAGTTTTAAATGTTATTTTTAGTGTTGGATTTTTTTTCACTTCTCGTCTCTGTCCAGGAAAAGAAAGCCATAGGAATCTTCAAAGAATTTTTTTCACATGACATTTCCCTAGCAGATTATGCAAAATTGAGATGTTCAGGCTGTTCATCCAGAGAATGAACATCCAGTTATTGATGATCACCCAACTGACTTAGAGTAACCTGACGGATGAATTCTTCAGACACATTATTACCTGTATGTCTAAGCATACCATCACACAAGAAAGAACCCTAGTACAAGCCCAGTATTCACTGAAATCCATGAACACTCTCCCATCTATACCCATAATAAGGCTTGCAATGGATAGTTTTGGTAAGAAGATAAATAGTTCTTGGATTATTTATGTGCTTAAAGTCAGACAAATATTTCACTGCTTTTTGGATCAAGCCACAGTGTTCAAAATGCACTGAACAGTTACAATTCTTACAGACAATGAAAAAATGACGTGATTCTTAGCATATCCCAAGACCAAGTGGGAACCATTCCCCAACCAAAAAAGTCCAAATTCCATAAACTCATTCATCCTTTAGTCTTTCAGGAAAACTGTAAATTAAAAATAATCACTGAATAACTTTGTATCTCTACCAAATTTAATTTACTTCTATACAAAGACCACTACTAATTCTCAATTGGACCTGTCTCTGAGTGATACTTTTACAGTGTAAAATATTCTACACTACACAACAGTGGCATGCAGCAGGGGATTGTGCAAGAATGCACAGTCGTCTTTTATTGTCAAATTAATGTTACTGTAAATAATGTAAAAGAATGGTAATATTATATCAAAATATCTGGAAAGGGGGAGAGAAAGCCCTAAGTTTTAAATCATAATCTATTTCACAGCTCGTCCACAGCTAAGTGCATCTTCCGTGAGGAACTACTCACTGTTAGGAAACCAATTCCAAAATGCCCACATCTTTTTTCTTGTACTTACATCACTCTGTAGCGATGCTGCATGGACTGAATGAGCAATACGAATATCACCATCCAGGCCACGTGAGCCAACCATCTGTCCTTTCGTTTTCTGAAATGCCTCCTTATACTTGTGCTAAAAAGGAAATAAGACTAGAAATGTGAATAGAAGTGAACAGAAGTAAGTATTAGTCAGATTGTTAAAATCTGAATAAAAGGGTTTTCATACTACTGAAAGAGATCTATGGACAATAAATTCTGGCTATACTCAATATGATACTAAATCTGAATGAACCTTTAGTGGACACTAGGAAGACCTCACCTATGCAAACATTTTAGTATTTTATCCTATTTAGAGAAAAAAACATAAAAAAATATGCCAATGAACCCTTACAAATAGCTTTGGTTAGTTATCTGCTATTACACAGGTGGTGGAAGACAAGAACTTAGTGCAGGTGCTCAGAATCAACCTCTAAGGAGCCTCTCTCCATCAGCTCTCTAGCAAAGTCAGAACTAGTCTCCTACGCTTGAAATTAATCTGTATATCTCTACAACCTGTAAAGGACACACAAGACAAACCCTGAAGGGTAGAACTTTCTTAATAAGCTCTCTCTTCCAAAGCTTGCCTAGCTAACAGTGGCTGAGAGCTCCTGAACAATCCCTATGATTGCCCAGTCACTCAGCAGGTAAGTTGGTCAACTTTGCTAATGGCTGTTTGCTTTCGCAAACCTTCCTTTGCTCAGTTACCAATAATGCTTCATTGTGTCTGCACCTCCAAAAGCACAACTAACTGGACTGAGACCAGATGTCTCCCAGATGTAGAGCTGGTTGGACATGCTGTTTCCATTCAAGAGTCACTCAGTAGAGCAGAAACAGTCTGGAGTGACTGACGTATCCTACTGGACAATATCAGCAGTAAGTTCACGTACATCACTTATGATTTCACCCGAAGCCTTTGCTGCCTGGAAGGGAATTGCATCTAGTTTCAGTTGATAGCCACCATCTTTCATCTTTCCCCAGGACTCCTTATAGCGAATCTAGGAAATACGGAACAGGAATAAAGTAGAGTTGCTGTTCAGAGGGTTGACACTGCAGCATTATTGCTATCCTAGCAATGTTACCACATTAGTTTCATTCTATTCTAACACAAAGGGCTAACGTAAATGAAACTATCAATACATAACAGGAATAATCACATGACAAATGTCCATTATAAAAATATATTTGCTTGTTCATTCTTAATCTTTCTAACTTAGGAGCGTAAGTTTGATAAGAGGTTTGATCTCTCATAACACTTCAGAAACATTTAGACCATAGAATGATCATATACTGGGGAAAGGAAAGAAATTTGGCATGATTTCCTGTGTAGGACAAACAGCAAAGCACTATCAACTTTTTAACTTTCCTTTAAAATATTAAAGGTCAGATTTATACCTCACTGATATTCATAGCATTTAATTTGGCCTGAAGGATTTCAGGAAGATCTGTTGTTGGTGTATACTGGTGCTTTACACTCTCTCCATGCTCCTTGTACAGCCTCTGCAAATAGAGATGAATTTCAGTAGCAAGTACTCACTACACATTCAATCACTAGTTCAGTCAAAAACATTAATAAATAGGTTTACGGAAAGCAAAGGCTAGAGAAAAGTGACAGCAGCATTAATAAATACAGGCAATTGTATCAGTCAAAAAGTTTTCAAGAAGCTTTAGGAGTCTGATACACCTATCAGCTAGAGTATGCTAGAGAGGAACTCCTTGAAGTTTTGAGTGTATAAATCCATGTATATGAAAATTCAGATATTTGAATATTCATTTGATAAGACTTCCAACATACGTGAATAGGGAGAGGAAGAATAATAAGCATTTGTTAAGGATGTGCAGCCGTAAGTGGCCCACCAACACTTTGAAATTCCACAGAAATCTGGGGAGTTGAAGTTCCCCAAACACATCTTTCCAAAGTTGTTCATTTTTAGCAGATAAATATGATGGCAATTATCTGTGCAATTACTCCAAATTTCTTTCCAGAGCTGGTTGCAAGGGGGTACTCAACAGTCAATGGCAAGGGTTTAAAAAACACTCAGAAGGTGACTGATCCCATAGTGAAACAGGTGTCTGTGTGGGCTACTCATATCAGTCCTTGGAGGAAGTATATAGGGTTGGTCCAGGACTAGCTTTTGGATGTCTGCCAACAGATAAGAGGAATTCCATGCAGTTAACTGGAACTTCCGCTACAATGGCTATGCAGAGTTCAACTCTTCCACATTATTTTTCTTTCCTAGTTTAGTTTCTTACACTGACACCATAATTTTCAGATGAGTACAGATAGCCACCATTTTTTTTTGCCTGAGATATGACCCATGTCTTGACCACCCGACTTGCCTTTCCCAGGCTATTATTTCTGTGTGAGGGTTTGAGACCCTCTAGATTAGAATGAACCTCTCAATTTCATCCTGCTGCCACTTTCTTTAGCAAGTAGACCCACTTGTATTGCAGCTCCGTAAGAGGAAAATTAATGAGAACTCCATGTGCAAAGAAGTAGAGCAGCAGACTGATTTTGACTGTGGCTCAGTGGAACAAAATGACTTATATTTATCCTGCATGAGATGTAAGCCTTTTGGATCTTATTAATTAAACCAAAGGCATAGACACTATAAGTATTACAATAGCATGTGTTTTACACAAAGTCTTTCATCTTCTTCTTCACTTTAGAAATATCTATTTTCACAATAAAACACCCTCTCATGTTTGAAACTTGTCTTTTTTGAGTGACTTTTGCTTATTATTCACTTCTGTATTATCCCAGTTAAGTCTACAATATTTTTAAATCGCTCTTCTATTAAAAATAAACATGTTTAAACACCAAACAGCCTCAATTCTTCCCTTTAAGATTTCCACTCCTGGATTTCTCTCTCAGCAGGATGACAGCTTGAAATAATTTATTTTCTCTTCCTTGTCATGCTGCCTTACATTTTGTTTCCAAAGAATATGCAGAAACCAAAATTTGAAAGATCTGTTTGAAAAGGGGAAAGAACCCCAAATGTGTTCTTCCTCAATGAATCTCAAAAGGCCAAAAGTCTCTAAAGGTCAAAGGTCAGTCTTACTCCTAAATTTTACTTCTGAAAAAAAAATTGGACAGAAAGCCATTTTTACATGAAACTCCCATTCACTTCAGTGGGATCTCTATGACTTCTCATTCCAAGTTAGAAACATGCTCTGTGTGAGATGCACCACACCAGAACACAGAAGTTTCATGGTTCCCAAAGATAATCTCAGAGAAAGAAAGAGAGAAAGCCAGTGCTTCAATCAGGTCGTTCAAAGAGGATACCACTCTTATAATCATAATGTATATACATTATAACTTACATCCACAGCCTGGTTATAACTAATTCTAGCCTGGATCATCTCAGGAGTGTCTTTAATACTGGTAAACTTCAAAGCATATGGATGCTGACGGTACTTCTTCTGTTGAGCAGAAAAAGATCAAAGCTGTGAATTTTGTGCTGCTCTTTCATGCTATTTGAAAGAGAAAAATCATAGGTTGCTGGAGATTAGAGTGAATTTGTGAACATAATTATTATTCCTCTTTCCTCATCTTTATGTCCTAGGTACTTTCAGATTAATATTTGTTTCAATTTAACAATAACCTTTTGCTGATTAATATTAAAGTATTTCTCCCTAAATATAAGGAAAACATTTCAAAATCAGATTCTGCCTACCTAAATACTCCAGAACTCAGGATTTTAAAATCTTTTTCAGATTACTTCAAGTACAGTATGACTGATTATATTTTTTATTTATGGTTTTTTTAAGCAAGAAATGATATACAATTGTAGTGTGTTAATAATGGGAACCATTTAACTTACTGTTTCAGGGTTTATGTTTCCTCCTAACACCTATAGCAAATCTTTGCAGCCATTAACACTGTGCCTAGCTGTTATGGTATATCTTCTAGATAATGGTATTAATTCTGCTTGCTTGAAAGGACCCGTAGTAGCTTCTGAGAGATCTTATTATATATACATAATTAAGATGAAAGCTGTTTGATGGCAAATTGACACTTCTTCCATATGGCCAGGTCACTAAAATCTTCCCTTCCTGCATAAGTTGTCCTATACCCATCAACACTCTTATCTCTTCTCCAAGTAGTGCATACTAAATCTTCCTGATGCCTGTGATGAACTCCCAAGTCAATAAGCATGTTCATGGCTCTTCTGGAAATTGTTTTTATCTCAGTGTTCAAGTCTAAAGGTATGTCACTCTCCTTTAAATTGAGCTGTGATCCATAGAAGTTTATTTGAGGCAACATCTTGATTCTTTGGGGACTCAAAACACCAATGTAAAACACATTAACTCTTTTAAGGTATTACAAGCTTATGAGCAATGTTTTGGTTTCAGAAAGAAATCTGTTAAAAATGAGTAATCTTACTAAGTTTAACTGGGTACAAAAGTGGTTTACACTTTGTCCTGATTAGCTGTAGAGACAAGTAAGAGCTGACCAGAACATCTCTACATAAAATTCCTAGAAATTATATTCTGGCAATTGCTTTTTAGCAGTATTACAAGGGCTAGTCACTGTGTGTATGCAAGAAGGGAGGAGGCTCATAGCCACCTAAAATTATTTAGCACTCACAAAAAGGTTGAGATGAACAACCTAGCAGGTCAAATTTCTAGTCGGCAGTTTTCACTGCTATAACATCAAAATTGTATACCTATACAGATTCACAGTTATTATTCCAGATGGCATTGTTGTACTAGCTTTTATGAAGCTACCTTGCTTTACACTAACTGAGGATGTAGTTTATTGTGTCTAAAAAAATCATCCTTCTTCATTGTAGATTATTACATGGGAAAAAATAGTGTTAGCAATCAGGCAGAAGTGAAAGGATGACCATATTTTTCTGAGACACTACACCAGTGGTTATGCTATTATTCTTATTGAGTGAATGGACAGGTGATTCCTGCATCATCAGTGCTTATCTAAAAAAATCACAGGATTCAGTCTCCAACTGCAGCAGATTTGGCCAGTAGGACTCCCTCTGAAATCACAGAATACTATGAACCTTTTAACAACTTCCACTACAACCTCCTTTGAAGGCCTCATGCAACTGGCATAAAGTATGCTAAAGTTCTCCTTCTCCTGTAAGTGATACTGGTTATAAGGATAAATGAGGATGAAAACTACTTGGGCCGATAGATAGCCACAGAGATATCTATGTGAATTTCAATAGTTAATGTGACTATATATGAAAAAGGAGCAAGAAGGAATGTGTATCTGTTACAAAAGAAGGTTCTGGGTCCAATGACTGCATCTTTTCATCACCTCTCCTGTTTTGCTTCATTAAAAAGGTAGGCTAGTGGGTAGCAATTGAGCACTGTTTGATTGCCATTATTATTCATAATATCATTTGTCACCTACTTTGTTTTTGCAAAGGCTATATGGACTCCTACTGGTGCGTGTTTGGTATCTGGTTTCCCTCTAATTACCAGTCCTATCCCTGGTTTTGAGGGCTTTCATGTGATATGCCTTTTTCTTTCCCCTTTGAGTGGAAATTATTTTAATTTTATACAGACATTTTGCACGCATTATGCAGCAAATTCTGTTACATGCTGTCATGAAATCTCACCTCACTAATGAGTTCTCCTGCCTTCTTAGCCTGCTCCACATTTAATGACCCAGTGGCTATCCATCCAACTCCTTTCATCCAGTTCAAATCTGCTCTGTATCGGTTCTGACAAAGAAAAAAAAAAGTCCTATTGTTGGTATTCATACACTTAAAATGCCATTAAAGGATTCAGACATCTCAGGAACAACAATGAAGTGAAATTAGTGCCTGCTTTTGTTTTATTCACTATTGCACAGTTGCAAGGAAAGCAAAAAAAATTACAGAATGAAATAGAAGTATCAGGACTCACCAGCACTTGTGCAATATGCTTTGCAAGGTAATTTTTAGAAGCGGTCTACACCTTACTGTCCTTTGTCGTTTTTACTCTAACATAGCAAAAACTTCAGTTTTATTGTACATAGTGCACTGTTTAAAATACCATTAATGATTTGTAGGGATAAGAAAATGATACTTAGCATTTCCCAACCCCTATACTTTTTGTTTTATCCTTTTGTTTTGTCTTTTCCTTGTGTCTTTAAGGAGGAAGAGTACAGGAGTACTTCTCACTTTCCTCACAAAATCTCCTCTACCAACAGTCTACTGAATTCCAAAAGCTTATACAAGTTCTACATCTGGGTTTCTCAAAGAAGCCAGAAGGGTTTCAGTGCCTATACCTCAACAAGACCTGTACGCGTATCTGAGTCTCCTTGAAAAGTTCTGACTTAAAACCTCAGAATGGAAAGTCTGACTTATAGTAACCATTTACAGCACCAGACAGTTCATCTGATGGTTACAGCATCTGAGCATGTGGTCTCCATATCAAATTTTATCACCAATTTTATCACCAAAAATTATGTAACCTCTCTGCATATTAGGTAAAAAAAAATAAATGTATCCTAGTGTTTTATTAACATTTGAAGTAGGCTTTGAAGAAGCCATGCTCATAAATAGGATTATAACACTCCTCAAAAACACTGCACACCTTAAATATATCTCTTGAGCAAATAAGTGGTTAATATATACTGGTTTAATATTAACTGTTTATTAGTTTAAAAATTAGGTGCATAAATATGTCATGGCATTAAAAGCATAAACATCTGAAGAAACTCAGCCCTAAGTGTCTGAAGGGGTTGAATGCAAGTGTATTGAAATACATGAAGCTCTGGACTTACATCACTTTGCAATCCATAGGCCCACTTGGCCCATGCCACTTTCATGTCAGTAGGCAGGGCTGTGTAGTGATGGAGAGCTGTCTTGTATCCTCTATCTGTAGCCAAATTCTGAGCCTTTTTGGCATGGACAAGGTTAACCATATCCATGGAGACCTGGAACTGATTCTTTGTATCCTCAAATGCCTTCTTGTACTCCAGATCACTCTGCAACTTTGACATTTGAAGAGAATGAGCCATCTTCAAATCTTCCTCCACAGCTTTTACTCCGATCAGCTTACCCTTCATCTTCTCATAATCTTCCTTATATTTAATCTGTGAAGAAAAAAATAGGCCATGAGTAAATGACCTAAGCTGCCAAACTGACAGCTCTGCTAGTGGTAAAGCAATGGTCTATCAGTGTTTTGACATGTTTGGTCCTCAATACAAGCAAGTATGAAGTCCATTTGCAACAGAGAACTGGAATGCCTTAGAAATTAGTGTTTTTTAAACTCTTTCTCAATAATAGTATGTTCACAAAAACCTGTAAGAAGTCTTTTCTTTTTGGTTCTCTCTAGAAAAACAACATTCTTTAACCACTGAGGTCAGAAGGTTCTTTTAGGAATTTTCTGGCCAGGCATAGGTTTATTAAGTTACAATGTTTCACAGGTGATTTCCACTTCATTTTGAGTTCTAAAATTCACCCTCAGGTCAAAATGAGAATAGGAGAACACAGTCAGCATGCCAGGAAAAACTCTGAATTGCTCAGAGCAAACCTTCTGACTAATTACGGAATGCCAATCACCCAGACATCTCTTCCACTGCTCCTCAGCATGGATCAAGTGAGGGTGGCTCAGAGCACCGAGACATATGTGACACATGCCCAACACTCTGGTAGCAACCTGGACTGTCAGCTATCCCAAGAATAAAGAAGGCTGATGGAGTCCATACTCACATCACTTGCCAGATCCCTCTTTGCCGTAGCTGTCAAGAATGACAAAGCATCCAGACGAAGCACAAATCCTTTTTCCTTCTGCTTCTCCCAGCTACTCTTGTACAGTTTCTAAAAAGATGACAGTAACACAGCCTCTTTATTACTATCAATATATTCTATTTGTTTTATAGTCACAGTGAAAGCTCTCAAGTAACATCTGACCAGCATACACTCTGTGCCCAGCAACCATATGTCTAAGGATCAGATCCTGGTGTCTTCACTTACTGTAACCATGGATAATGTAACCCCATTATCTCACTGGTTCCAGTGAAACTGTCAATGTGCGACTCATCTGGAAGCATGTGGAAAATACATAGCTTCAAACACTGAAAAGTGACTAGTCTTTGGAACACCAGATGTGACTAGTATTTAATTAAGAACAAGTAATTAAATTTGGATATAAAGTTTTTACATCTAAAACATTTGGACCTTCTCAGAGAAAGAACCTAACTTTTGCCTACAGAACAAACATTTCAAGAGGAGCTGTAACTATTCACAGGAGTGAGGGAATCCAAACCTCTGTCTCACACAGTACCTCACTGATATTGGCAGCATTTGCTTTGGCCAGTATGAAGACAGGATCATCTTTGCTGATGGTGTACTGATGAAGAAACTGCTCTTTTCCTGACCTGTAGGCAACCTGTCCACACAAAGCAAAGCAGGGTTAACAAGCAGTAGTCCATGTTTAATGTTGAAGGAATACTGATTAAGACACCCCAAATATTCAAGGATTTGTTAGGGTTAATTTATTTGGTGAGTTCATCTTTAGCATCACGACTTTTTTTGCCAAATCTGAATTTATAAGCTGACCCACAGAGTCAGGTAGACCAAATTACTCATGGTTAAATTTCAGAGAAGCAGTGAAACAACATACATATCAGGACACTTTCTCTTTCCTAAAGTTAGCTACTTAACTGGCTGACATTAATTCATGTTCAGTACAAAATGTATGCAAGAATGTATTTCATCCAATATTAAACTGCAGCTACTTTTTAGGTGGAATGAAAGTCTTTAATAGGACACAGAAATAGTGAATTTTAGGCATGAAATTAAGAAAACTAAGCAATTGAATCTGCAGAGAAAATTTGTGACCTAAATGCAGTTGCTGACATAATACTCCAGTGAGGACTAACATTCCAACTTTAAATGAAAATATCAAGGACCTTTTATGATCCAAGTAGCAAACATCTCCATTTTATACCCCAGGGCAACATCAACAGAGAAATGAACTGCTCTGTTTCAGAAGCCCATAAAGCTGTTGGAGGAATTGTTGAAAAGCTATGGAAAGATGTCCCATTTCAGAAAGTCTTACATTTCTTACGTCTCACAGAAAAAGAAAAAAAATTGTCCCTACTATGAAGCTCTAAATCCATGGTTACTGTTCTGACTTCAACACACATACAGAAAGGCAGCATTGTCCAGTACATAGGAGATAAGTAATGGGGGTCAGGAGACCAGCATTATCCTCTGATTCAATCTTGTGTCATCATTGAGACACACAACACTCATCCAAGTAAGTGACAGGTTTTTATTGACATAGAGGAGCAAAAAAAGAAAACATGGTAGCTGCCTGAAAAAGACCAATCAAGAAGCAGTAATGCTTCATTCACGTAACAGCTGAGAAGCTGACAGTATCTTCAGTTCAAAGCACAACATATTAAAAATAACTAAAAAAAGCTTGGCAAGTCTCTACTGTTCCAAAATTAGTTGGTCAGCAATTTTAACAACAGGTTCCCCTTCTCCTGGAAACCTAAAAGTGAGTTGCTGTCAGCTAAGTCCTGCCAGGGAGTTCTGAAATACCATCTGCCAGGGTCTCCCAGCCCCGAGGAAGAATAGGAAACTTTCTGAAGTCACCCAGTTTGGGAAAATATGCCTATTTTATCATTTTACTAGAAGTACCTTGACAGCAACACCTGAAGAACATGTGGTCTAACAAGGCTAATACCCATTGGGGTTTGCTTTTTTGTTGTTGTTCTAGTTCAGAGAATTCAATGAGAGAATTCATCAAACAAACAAATAAAAACCCTTAGAAATAAATCTCAAGAAATTTCATATATGGAAATGTTTCATGCCTGGGTCCTCTACCACCACCACCGCCCCCTCCCACTGTACATATATCAGGAATGACCACATTATGAGTAAACTACTTGCATGGAGAAATGAGTGAAGGACTCACATCACTTTGCAGTTCCTGGCTTTTCTTGGCATGTTTGATCTGAGAACTGTCAGCCACACTGGTGAACTTCAGAGCATCAGCCTTCTGTCTGTACTTTTTCTAGATCAAATTAAAGCAGGTTACACAAAAGTTGCTACAATATTTACCTTCTCCAACAATGTAGTGCTTTCAACAAATACATAACTTGACAGAGCCAGAAGTCCCCTGTAAATTCCCAAGACAATTTTAGCACAGGTATCAGCAAGATAAGCTTCCAAATACTACCCCTAGTATTTTCTGCTGGGAGGACCCCAGTGGTGAGGAGGGTAGTGCAAGAGTATGCCAAAGGCATTGCTGCTGACACAGCAAGCAGAGATACTCTTTGGTGCCAAATGTACTAGCTATATATCTTACAAGATCTAGGTTGCACACCAACTGATGGGTGTCCTTCACAAACTGTGTATGACTTAAGTCAGTGCCCAAGAGAGCTCATGAGCTACACACTCAGTATTACTATCTCATTTTCTTACATGAGACTTCTCAAGCTTATGCATGTTGTTCAAACCACTGAACGTGTGTTACTGAGAAATTTTTAAATTATTAAGATATTTCTAAATTATCAATTAAATTAGAATGGGCAATTTCAGTGTCCTGAAAGCAATTTTAATTCAAAATCTCCCCCACCATCTCCCAGTTCTTTTCAAAGCAGAGCTTAGCATAGATATTGCAGTCAAGCCTTCCTGGGAGCAGCAGCTATGAGAGCCTTTTGCAAGGTTCAAGTCTTGGATGTGGGAAGAAACATTGTGCTCCATTCGTTCTCTGGTACCAGTATTATATAAAATCTATTTGAACGGACAAATTTGCATAGAGGCTAACATTTCTAGTTTGGTAAATATGACTTCCCTTATTTTTATTCCATCTTACTTTTCACTTTACATCTGAAACACACCGAAGTGAATGGGCTTTGGATCAGGCCTATTTTGAATCAAGGTCACTGCCTGAGCCTTTTGCATCACTCATTGGAGAGCAAGATAACCATCTCTATCTTTGAGACAGTACAAGGAAATGCAGCACCCTACAAGACCACAGTATAATAGAGCAGACCAGGCAAACACTTCTTATATATTTTAGTCAAATTCTTATTCTAACAGTTCAACTATGAAGTGGGGCATTCCACCTAGAAAAGGTGTAAATGCATTTTCTCATTATCTGGCATTTCAGGAGAGAAATCCTTCTGTTTGAGCTGATGGGTGAACAGATCAGTTTACACTGTGTCTCTGCTAGGGGAACACAAAACAGAAGTTAAAAAAGCATGCAGCACTTCAAAGAGTTGCTCATCGTTTTATTTTAGGAACCTGGAAGGAAGGGAGGCAGATTAAAAACAGCATGTTTTGTCACATCCCATGGAACACAATGTAGTGACATTCTGCAAAGAAATGACAAAATGCCAGGCTCTGTATGGCAATAGAGATCTCTAAAATAATATCCACCATTCTCCAGTTTAAGTGACTGTCAGCCATATCTTGGCCTTACACAACGCTGGAATAAAAAGGCAGATCATTATGGATTAAATATTTGTGGAAGTGATTATTACTACTGCACTACACAGCAGCAGATGTCAGTCTATCCCTAGCAAGACACCAATCTGAGAGTAGCTGCTCTTCTTTTGTTTCTAAAAGGAGCAGCGAGATGATGTCAGAGACCCAAAGTATCAGAGAGTGTGGTCTCCAGTAACTAACTGGCTTCTGTTCCTTCCTCCAGCACTAAGAGGGATTTTATCCTTCTTGTCAAACCTCCCTTAACTTATTCTTCTACCTGTCCTCTAGTTTTCCTAGCACTAGTGAGACAATTCAACCATAGCTAAGCAGCTGAGGAAGTATACTTCCATAAGGTTAATGGCAGTGCAAAACCATGCAATCAAGCAAAAGCAATGAAAAGCAGCACAAGCTGAAGTTGCCAGTGAAGTCACAGCCTTTATTAGCCAAAGAGCAAAGAAATTTCCAGACATGGCTAACAAATATCTAATTTTTCAACACCGTTCCTTAAAACTCTATGTATTTTGTGTAGCATGTACCATAGGAAATTCTAATTGCTTCCAATGCCACTCTACAAAATGGGCAGGCAAATGAAAAGAGGTGGAAGCACAATTATGGGGACTTCTGCCTCACAAACTTGACACAATAATCATATAACAGGAAAATATTTTTAACCACTAACCCAGGATCTCCTGAACTGCAGAATAAATAAACGATGTCCATCAGTTCTTCCATTTCTCAGATTTTCTGTACTAGGAATTCCGAATTCCTTACCTATTCCACATAATGTAGTGGAATAAGTGTGCATAAACATTTGAATAAACAACACACAGAAGCCTGAGCACTTTACTTACCTCACTGACCAAATCTCCTGCCTTTTTGGCTTGCTGTATATTAAGACTTCCTTCTGTAATACACCCAGCTCCTTTCATCCACATCAGATCTGCCCTATATCGAAGCTGTAGAGGAAAATGACACTTATTGACATGGGGGAACACAGGTACAATGTTTGCATGTGAACGTGTGCACCTTTTCCAGTTTCAAAGACATTGCAAAGACATTTTAAAAAGTCATAGTGCAAATCAAACACTGTCCATATGAAACGAGAATTAATGTCAAACTGAAAAAGGCTATAAACACTCATACTGCTTATAACAGTTAAACTGAGTATACAGCGTCTTACATCACTCTGGAGACCATAGGCCTTCTTTGCCCATTTGGTCTTCATGTCTTCTGGAACCACTGTGTATTCATGGAGTCTCTTTCTATAATCCAAGTCACTAGCAAGTGCCTGGGCCTTCTTAGCATGTCTCAAGTTTATCATATCCATAGGTAGATGGAAATGGGTCTTACTCTCCTCAAAATCTTTTTTGTAGGCAATCTAGAAATAGAAGGAATGAAAATAAGTTTTCTGTATCAGTGTTTTGCAAAGCCAAAGCTATCTTAAATCGCCACTCTTGCATTCTGCCTATTATGCAGAGTAGGCAAAAAACACATGTAGAGATCAGGTCCTACAAGGGATCCACAAAACAGATAGCAGGATGAATTTTGCAGACTCTAGAGACATCTTTTCTCTTACAGTACCTCTTACTTTTAAACATACTTTCATCTGCTTGAAAGTTTTATATAGAAGTATTTATATTGCAGTTTTAATAGGATGTTATTTTCCTGCCCCAAAATAAGGACACCATCAACCCAAAATTCCCTACGAGAACAAAAAGACTGTGCTATCATTGCAGATTAACAGATGGAGGAAGGAAACCAATTTTTTTTAAACACTTCCAAGAATTTTGTATAGTGAAAGCAGTAACAGTGGTAGATTGTATGTTGTTGCCGAAAGATTCATAATTATGAAAAACACCTTTTCAGTAAAAGAAATAAATAATTTACCTCACTACTCATCTTGGCCACCTGCAGAGAGTGCAAAAGTCTTGAATCCTTGGTTCCAATTGCTTTTCCTTTTGTTTTTTCATATTCTTCTTTATATTTAATCTGTGAAAAAAATATTTTAAGTCAAAGCACATTTCCAATTACCCAAGAGATAAGCAATATGTTTTTCACTGGCAATTTGTATGGCCAAAATTTACAAGGGCTTAGTCTGAATCTCACTTTGTCACTTCAGATTTCCCAGATTTTCTCAGGAATTCCCAAAGGTGCAAGGTTGGTCTCATTTATGTGGTCTTTAACCTCATTCTTTAAGGATCACTCCTCTGAGGTGGATATGCTTATAAACTTAAAGTCTTCTGATTAGCTAAACTATGTGGTTCTTAAAGCAAAAGATAAGAAATCAATCATGTAAAAACCAAGCAAGAAATTCAAGATTTTATTTTCTTAATGAGGCTGGATTTCGGAATCACCATCATTGCTGAACACTTTCTAGCTGCAGGAAAAGTTTCTTCCTTTTCTGCCTCTCTGCACGTTAAGAATCATGAGATAAGTCGTTTAAAAAGCGTTTGTCTGGAAATTTTTTATATACATGTATTTATGTTAAAGAAGCAGACTAAAGAAATATGCATTCCCTTTGCAGTGGATGATAACAGTATTTTTGAGGCTATAAACAATTCAAAACACTGAATTTTACTATGGGAGGATTGAACCATCATTATTCTGCAAATTTTGCTTCCTTCTGTACACTTGTATTTAAAAAAATAATTTTCAGAGAGTGAAATTTCATAGCAGAGTCTGAGAAAGTTTCCAACTGTTCATCAGCCATTGAGAAAGATGGACAGCCAAATCCAGGACTTAAAAATCCAGATGAAGTGACCTAAGCTTTATTCCCCTGTGCTGTAGCAACTTCTATAAAGAATAATTCCTAGGTAATTAAATATAACATACATCACTGGCAAGATCCCTTGAAGCTTTGGCAGCAAGCAAAGGCAGAGAATCAAGTTTCATTTCAAAGCCCCGGCCCTTACTCTTCTCCCAGCCTTCTTTGTACTTTATCTGAGAAAGACAGCAACATGTCACTAACACATAAACACACAAGATCTTCAGAAAAACATGAAAATGACTAAGAGCAAAACAGAAGTATAAATATGCTCAGTCCACAAACCAGAACCTTCTTAAGTCACAGTTCATTACCATTTTGAGCTAATTAATTGGCCAGAATTGAGTCAAGAATTTTATTCTTGAAGTTTACAGGCACTTCAAATCCCAGAACATGCACCAATTTTAAATAGATATGGGGGAGGGAAGGTTTTTCAAAAGTGCCTGTGGTTACGTCTACATAAGCAAATAGTGTAGATCAATAGCAGCTGATCTATAGGGCAGAACAGCTGGTGCTCAGAATCAGACGTTGCACTACTCATTTCAGAATTTTTCTTACCCCCCTCCCAAACTAGAGCTAGTCAGGTCCCATGCACCAAATGCCTATTTGTAGCTGGAGTTCTTTATTTGAGCTGCTGGAGATCATCTTTCAGTTTGGCTTCATTCAAAAGAAACCCAGCTCATGTGCTCTGAGACCACCCCACAATGTGAAGCAAAGCTCAGTGAAGCAACCCTTATGATCAGGAGATTTGCTTCAAAAGCACACTCACGAGCCACACTAGATCACAAACGTAGATGAAATGCATGAGAATCACATGCTTAACTGCTGAAAGTTAATGGAAGTTGAAGTACTAGTCATTTAAGCTCTTTTTCAAGGTTCCACTTGAAATTCCATTAGAGCAGGATCAAGTATTCATCCATACTAAGCATGTACCTAATGAAGTATCGATGAAGGCCTGATTTCTGGATTTGGCTTTTCATATGGTTATATTTTACTAATATCTAACAATGAGCATGCTTCTCAACACATTATAGTCACAAAGAGTGTTGCTCCACAACACTTCACCAATGCAACTCAAATAAAACTTAAGGGAAGAACACAAGGTATGAATATGCCAGGAAAAACTTGCAGTAATGCCGACTCAAAACCATAAAAAATTATGAAACTGGCTCAAAAGTAACAGTCACACCAGTAATAAGTCTGGAGTTTTTTTCTGGTTTTGTATTTATTTGTCCTGTTGGGCTTTTTTCCCTCCAAAACTATCTATAACAATGGAGGCCTGAAAAATACTTTAAAAATTAAATAGAAGTTAAACTTTTCCTGCAAGTGTTTGATTTTAACACCCAGGTCTCTAAGTAAATCACTACATATTGTCATGAATTATGAATGGCAGCAACAGTGGGCTTGATCCAAGTTCACTGAAGTCACTGTGTTTCTTTCCATTGATTCCAGTGGGCTTTGAGTTATTGGAACTGTGCAAAAGTTGGTACTTCATACAAATACAGCCTCAAAATCAGTTAATTTTGTGAACACTGATTTACTAAACAAATTCAAATCATCTGAAAAGGTCTTAAAAAAAAAGTCTAGTGGTTTCACTGTACTTTAGATTGTATCCCTATCTATTCTGGTTACCAATCTTCATGCTGTTTAGTAAAGACCGCTGATAATAAGAGTGTCACCATCTTTACATTCATTTCTGTCTGTCAATGGCATCATGAATACTAATATTTCCACATTGCTTGGCTTACCTCACTGTATAACTCAGCATTGGCTTTTGCCTTGACTAATTGAGGTACGTCCTGAGGTAGAGTGTAATTTGTTTTTGTCTTCTCGTACTGGGCTCGGTAGTTCAACTGCCATATATTGAAAAAGTCAACAACAAACTCAGTTATTTTTAACTCACTAAAAATATGACCGTTACACTGATTGACTGCTGTTGAATTTCAGGCTATTAGCACCATATGTTACAGATACACTTATAGGTATGGCTGACATAAATATGAGGGCAATAAGGCAATTATAACTTTTTCCTAGGTACTAGGAAGTAGAACAGTTATTCTATAAATAGAATAGTTACTGATTATCTGTAAGAAGAAAATACATTATTAAAACCATCCATTAATAAAGACACAGAAGATAAATCCCTAAGAAAGCACACTTATATAAATCTTAAAAATGGAGGAGAATATTAGATCTACTGGTATGCTTGCCACATTTTTGGAAGTGATTTCATTCAATTTCTATTCTTGTTTTGGTTGTAAATCTGCTGATGGACTATCAAGAACAAAAACACTTAAGTGCTACAAATGCTATGAAATATAATTATTTCATAATTCTAATAAACAATGGTGTCTAATGACAACAGAACTTACATCACTGAGCTGCTGCGCATTTATTTTGGCTTGAGCAATTTGTGGAGTGCTGGTAACAGAGCTGTACTTCAGCTTGTCTATGCTTTGCCTGTAGTTTACCTAATTTAAGATAAAATCAAAAAAAAAGACTTAATCTAGGAAGAAACGTTCAGATTAGAAAATGAGAGATTGAGTAGACAAAGTTTTGTTAGCTAATACTCTGGATAAATCATTACTTAAACCATAATAAACTGAGGTAAGGAAAAATGCCAGGATCTCTTGCATGAGATCTGAGTTAATGCTCTGAAAATTTCCTTCCTTCTGAGGTCACAGTTTTTATTCCACTTTGAAGATGAACTCACTTATAACTCCTCCCCCTCAAACCCACAAATTCTTAAAAAGATGCAGTTTCTGCTGGTCCCCCAAAGCATTCCAATAGAACTGATAATCTTAACCACCACTTAGACTATTTTTATCTTTATCAGACTATCTTTATAAAGGAACATTGTAACTGTCTATTAAGAGGTCTGTCCAGCGCAACGCTGTGCAGAGCAAATTAACTCCCTTACACTTTGTATTTAATGAGTTTTAATGTAATAATTAATCACAGAATTTCCCTGTGTGGTAAGAGGTGTGTGTGGATGATGAGAGAAGAAAAGTACATATTTATGGTACAAAAAAAGTAATTTTAATGTCAGCCATTGATAGGATTGGAGCCCACTAAATTCCTAACATTAATATGGTAGCAGCAATAAAAGGCTATAAAATAAATATATTATATCTCAAAGTTATGCAAGATAAAAAAATCATGGAGAAGCTTTCTTTTAAACCTGTTGCTGCCAAAGGACTCAGTGCTACACTGCAGGACACAATTATTATTCTCTGTAGGCCTTAATTAGCATTCACTGTAGACAATCACCACTTTGCAAACATTGCAAATCACATTGCTTAAAACTAGTTTCTTAAGAACACTTTTTTCCAGTAAAGTGGAGTATATTTCTAGAGACTTTGAGTTACTGAAACTATTTTAATGCAAACTTTCTTATCTCAGGTATCTTCATGTAAACTTGTTCTTTCTGTCATAATGACAAAAACTAGGAAAAAAGGCCTGAATTATCTCACAGGTCCAAAGTGATCAAAGTACTTAAAACAGTTCATTTGCTTCTTTGCAGAGACAGAGAGAATGTCAATTCCACAGAAAGGGATCATTTCTTTTTAACTGAAACTGTGTATTTATTGCTACTTGTGATTGCTTAGTGTGTGAGACAGTTGTATTCTTAAAGAGTTCAAAGTAACTGATTGGTTATCAGTGAGCAGATGAGTCCTCGGACTGTTTCAAACTACTAGATGATAATCATGACTAGTGCAGCTGAGTCTCTGTGGCCAATTGATTTATGTGCTCCAAACGCAGATGCTGACTACGAATCATACAGCCACAGGTAGTACTGAAATGTTTAGAGTGGGTAGAACTAACTTGTACATTTTGGACATGAATTCATGCTTACTTGGAACTCTTTAAGAGTACAACTCTCTCACACACTAAGCAATCAAACACTGAACTTTACTTTTTTAAACTTTTTCAAGGACAAAGCTGAAATTACTGCTGAAGATCCAATAGTGCATCTTACAGTTGAAGTATATCAAGTACTTCCTCAAAAACATCAGGGTTCTCAATTCTACCTCTTCATGCTACCGTCTTTTTCTTGGAAGAGTTATTTAGGCCCAGATAAATCTCATATAACGTTAATGGCCTCTCTAAGGCATCTTGCCCCTGGTTTCTTGCAATTTCAATGGAAAGACGGGGTTATACACATCTTAAGTAGTCAGAAATGCCCTGCAGAGGTGCTGCTCTCTTTCTGTTGATTTTATAAGTAATGCCTGGTGACTGTGCTCCTAAATAAGGCATAGGTTAAGTTCCCAATGGTAGAGGAGATCAATCAAGCCTTTAATGCTTGTGAGAGGTGAAAGTATCCTCTACAGTCTGACATCCTCTATTTATCTGCAGAGCACATATAATCACAGCAGTACACAAACTTCTTCACATTGTTCCATCAGTAACTCAACCCCAAGCACAGATGGCACCTCTCACACGGACCACAGGCATAAAGAAGGTGAACACCCTGTCTTCAGGGAATTCACAAAGGATGAGAAGCCTATTTAAGTCTCCCTGTCCTTTCAGTGCTTGATGCTGGTGTTGAAGCTGCCCAGGATGGTGAGACATTTTGCAACACAGACTAGGGACAGGGCAGAACTCATTCATTTCACATGACTGTACAATCTGTGCTGAACTGAAGCCAATGACAGGAGGTGGCAGCACTTTCTATTCCTCTGAGCCCTCTTGACTCCCTGCTCTTTTTTGCTTTAACTTTGTTATCACTAGCTGTTTGCTCCCATGATTAAATCATCATTTGACACATGCAATGTATCACAGTCTCTCCTACAGAGAGATGATGAGCCATGCAAGTCATAGGAAAAAAAAAAAAAACCAACATAAAATTATTTACATCTTTCAAAGGGACCAACTTCCTTGTTGTCTGATATGAAGGAGTGACAGTAGCTGGGTAATTGTAGTCAACACCGTCATGTTTGTAATCAGATTTATAGGCTATCTGAAACACAGGGAGAACAAAAAAAAAAATCATTCTTTTTTTTTTAAGCTGTCATTTGTTTGAATAATTATCAGTCAAGAGGAAAGGAGAAACAATAATATTAATATTAAATGCAGGAAACAAAGTAAGTTCAATGTCATGAGTGACAAAGAAAATGAAATTATTTGCATAGTTTAGCCACTAATTGATTCTTTTTCAGCTCCTCAATTAATCCAATGCCAACAGTGGGAGCATTAACTTAACTTCCACCTATGACACATCTCTTTTATCTTTCTGCTTAGTTCTCAAGCTTCTTACAGATTTGTAAATAATATACTTGAAGGAATGGTAGGTAACAAAATAGCTTCTTGACTAACCCAGTAAATTAAATTGGAATCCAGAAATCTTCATTAAAGACTGTTTTTTAAGAAAAGGTCTGACCCTGGGGGTGGTGGCAAGCAACCTTCAGCATCCTACTGATGTCAGAGAAAACTGAAGGAGCTCAGTATGTCGCCAGATCACTGAATTTGGTTATTTTAACTTCTTCCAGACAGAGAGCTATAGATCAGTACAAAAGGGTTTCCAGAATTTCCCCTCTTCTCAACATGTTTATCCCCAGCACAATATGATGTAAAGTTCTCTATCAACTTAATTCTGGAAAAACTTAAAGACAAGAAAGCAACAACCATACAAGTGTGATTAAAAAAGACTTACATTGCTTGCCAAGCTGCCAACTTTCATAGCATGTAGCATTCGCTTGTCCATGCCGATACCTACATAATGACCTTTCATCTGGTTCTGGTAGGTTTCTTTGTATTTAAGCTGTACAAAAAAAAAAGCAAAAATACTTATAGAAGATATATTTAGTTTTTCTATGAGTTCCCATGTGTTACAGCAGTGAGACAAATTATTACAGCTGTTGTCTACTAGTGTTGCACCACTACAGAAACTCATGTGTCCACAACAACCTTGGTACTTTAAAAAATAAAAACTAAAATGCTCTGTGAGTTTCCTATTTTAAAAGACGTCATTTACATATTCTTCAGATCACCTGGATGTAACATAAAGGAGACACCTCTGTATTCTATTGCTGCGTATTATTTCATCAGAAATAAATATTAGAACGAAGTTGCAGGGAAGCATTATTTATACATTAAACAAATGAATACATAATCATCTACCAAAACCGGACTGTTTTGGTGCAGCTTTCACCAAGCCCAGAGTAGGGAATTCGACAACAAGATAAATTAACAATTCTACCATCTCATCTGTACGGCAAAAGATTTACTCCTCCTGGATTTCAGAGAATGATAGCAAGCAGTATAAAGCAAAATTATACTTCAATATCATGAGATACAAGCAGTATCATTACTAATATTGGTTACTTTCACACAGTAAAGTTGTTCCTCTCTGACATTAACTCTGGTAAAGTATCTTCTGCCTACTCTTCCAGTCAGGAAATGGACATACACAATGAAATAAGTAATAATTATGATACATAACAGTAACAACTGCTAGCTACTTGTATAGATTAGCAGTCCACTGTAAGTAACCTCACTTCCATACATCATAATGTTCTTTTCATAATCCTGTATAAAATGAGCCCCACTGATCCATAAGGACAGACCAGGTGCTGTACAGACATGGGTTAAAATCAGTTATAATCAAATTCCCAGCGCACACTTATCTGAAACACATACACAGATGACTTGGGGTTCCAGCAGCTACCAGGTTAAGCAAGCTACTTATGAAGTACTGAAAACTTACATCACTGGTGAATTTTGAGATCTTGCTCACATTCTTGAATTGCGGAGTATCACAGTAGTTCATGCTGTAGCCTCTGTTGTTTCCAAGATCCTTCTTATACTCTACCTTAGTGACAAAAATGCACAAGGGAAAGATATGGTAAAACCTTAACCTGCTCTGTCAAGGTCCTCCACATACTTTTTACTAGCCAGACCCACTGTTCAGAGATTTTGATACATGGCTTTCATCAGTTGGCATATGATGAAAATTATTGTGAAAATGGTTTTCATATACTCTGTTCTCATTTTATAGGCAAAAGAAATGCAATCAATTTCATCAATTTGGACCTCAGCAAAGTGTATGAGACAGTGCCATGGGGAAAATTATTAGCAAAAACAAAGATCTACGAAGGAATTTTAAGGGGAGTGTGGAGCAAATGAAAGCAGAAAAAGCAATAGGTGTTTTTCAACAGGATTGAACAGGGAGAAGTTTACCAGCAGAAATCTTAAGAGTAAGTTTAAACACAGAATTTGTTTAATATTTTCATTAAGTACCTTTGCTCTGAAGTAGGAATTTTGGGGGTGATATTAAAAGGGGTAATAGAAATGGGACTAAATTCAGCAATATAGGGGTTAATATACATAGGGAGTAGTCATAAAAATTTCAGCTATAAGAGCTCATCACCTGCAAAGGCCAAGAAAGAGAAAACTATTCACATGTAGGCTGACCACAGAAAGATGGCAAGATGCCAAAGTAACACAACCATGAAAAAGGCAAATGCAGGCCAAGGCAGGAGCAAGAGGAGACTTTTGAGCAGGCACTTGGAAGTGCGCGTGCTATGTACCAGGTTCCAGCAAGACCTTATCAAGAACTTACACACTCTTACAGTCATTCTTGTTTAAGGAATATGCACTCAGCCTGTAACAGCTGCAAAGGAAAACTGTGAGAGATGAGAAGAATTTGGCTTGCTTAGACTAGGAAAACAAAGGCAGAGAGAAGAAAATGATATCTGCTTGTAAACATCTCAGAAAGGTAATCATGCAGGGAGAAGAACTTTTTAAACTAAAGGGCAACGTCGGCACAAAACACAGTAGTAATAAAGTGGACAGGAATAAACTAGAAATTAGAAAAAGAGGATTATATGATACTGTGCCGAAACAGCAGGAGTCCGGAAGCATTGGCCCAGGAGGCCCCTTCCAGTCCTACTTCCAGGGGTTTTTCATTATTGAAGGTTTTACACTTTGACATCTCAGGAGTATTAAGTTTTTAAACTGCCATGGGGAAGCTCTAGAAACTCACATTTATTAATAGCTTTATAGCTGATATGACACTATAAATAAATTAATAATTCAGAATCTGCTGAGAATTCCGTAGCAATCTTCTCTTGCCAAGCAGAAGAAGAATGCATTATCAGTAACTCACAGTCTTTCACATGATGGAAGCAAAAAGAAACCTCCATTAACAGAACAGTACAAATCTGGGCCTGTTGGTGTTATTTTTTAACTATCAGTAGAACCTTCTTTGAAACACTCTAAGGTACACACCCAAGTCATCCTAAAGCATTTATGATTATAACTTCACAGTACATTAACAGCACAATTAAGGGTTTTTTTTTCTTTAAGATTTCTATTCTTCATGTGGCCAGAATTAGAATTACTCTTCTGGGGTTAATTTCCCATACTTTCATATAGATCATTGGAAGTGCCAGATAACAGCACCTGAAGATCTGTTCTTGCACCTTTCTCTCCACTTACTGTGCTACACACAGATAATTGTTACATACAGGCTGATAAGAACAACAGCTTCTTATATTTGTAGTCCTTACCCGTCAGACACAAATGTTTGTATGAGCTGCTCTGAAACTTGTTAACAGATCGATTCAACCCCTTACCTCACTGACAAGCTTGTTAACACTTTGGGCTTGTTTAAGGACTAAGTTGTCTTCAGCCGTTAGGGAGTGAAAGTGAGCTGCACCTTTCATCTTGGAAAGATCTTTCTTGTATTTTATCTGAAAAGAAGTAGGGAAAATTATAAAATAGATGTCTACCTTTTCACCATTGCTATTTAGACTGGCTTCATGAGTTGGGATAAGATTTTTCTTATTCTTGCTTTGATAAGCAAATAGAACTTGCTAAGTTGAAACACTGCAAGTTGTTATTTCCTGAAATAAACCACATATAAAACCACAGCCCTAACAATCCCTGCCAAGCCACTTCACTAGACAGCATTTTTTTAATCAATTTTTTATGTAGATTGAACAGCACTGGTTGTTGTTCATAGCTTGAACAGATAACTAGCAGATTCTTGGCTAGTGACTGGTTGGAGCTTGTGTGCTCGTCTATTACTGAAGTTAATTCTCAGTACTTTAATTTTAGACTTCTACTCAGAGAAGTAAAGATAGTCATCAAGTGCTCTGTGAACTTTTCCTTTTGTAGGAACCAGCTTTTTGAGAGAGCTGTCTCCTTTTGCACTTATAATGTTTTAAGACAATTATATTTCTCTACCAAATCAATATTGAAATAAGGGATCTGTTAATTTAATTTAGACTTCAGATTATTGACTTAAATTGAGCTAGGATGGGTGAAGAGAGGTAATACTTATATTGGCCTTTTGCCAAATGTTGTCCAGAAAAAACCCTGTTGGGAATATATTTCAATATATTTCAATATCTCTTGCATACAAGGAGACGCTTCTATTCTTCATTTTATGCCACCGCTTTAAAAATCAGATTCATAATATAAAAAAATAACAAATTATTTGAAATGTGCCGAAGTGCAAAGTGGTTTTTATTTCATTTTCCAAGTCTGCACACAGTTTCTCAGGCTTTAAAGATATGAAGCAGCTTGATAAGTAATCTAGTGAGTTAAGGTTACTGCCATGAACCAACGCTTTTCCTTGCTCCAGGTATTACAAATTAATGAGGAAACTGCTGACCATTAGCATTTTGAAAACCTATGAAACTGCCATCTTCATCTGGAAAGGTTAAATATTTCATGTTTAAACAGGGGATCACTGAGTTTGTCATCAAAATAGGGACTGGTCACAGAAGGTTTCGGGTTTTTTATATTCTCTCAGTCATAAGCTCAGGTGACAGAATATGACTGATCCTTTCACTCTAGTTTACTGCTAGTGTCTAGTCCAGGCTAGTACAAACTGAAAGACTCAACCATCTGTTAGCTCCTCAGAAAACAGACTGAGCCCATCAGCTCAGATAGCCCTGTGGGGGACAGGTGTCCACACTACAAAGGCTGTCACTCGCAGGAACCCTTCACAGCAGCCACAGGGTAATGACCCACAGACTGACCCATTTTTTGTCACTACCAGAAATGGTCTCCTCAAATAGGACTGAGGCTCTTTAATCAATGGGCTGCATGCAAGAATCACAAATCACCACCTTTTTTGCCGATTCTTTAGCTTGCCACCCAAACCTAAAAATCCCCAGCCTAGAAACAAGCTCACTCTTGTGAAGTGACAGTGTCATACACTATGGTTTCTTTTCCTCCATATAACTTGCTTTGCGCTAGAGGCATGATACATCAAAATATCAAAACCAGTTCAGCTCATTCATCCTCCATTTATTCACTACTGGGAATACCACTGTAGTCCACAGGATGATTAAGGCAGTTGAAGGTTTCATTAATAATACAGGTGCAGATTTGCCAGGAGGGTTAACCTGACAGTAGGGATCCCCATTAGTTGCTACATCCATCTCCTCCCTCATGCAAGTTGGAGCTGTGTCCCCTTCTATTAATGGATATTTATTAATCCCCTGAGCCATCCAGTTCCCAGCAGTGCAGTGAAATGTCATTGTTGTTTACTTCTCAAGTGTAATTTTAGCATTATCCTCCTAGGCACTGCTCTGACAAACTGCTGGTTTTAATTGTTTATGAATTGTATTGATTCAGGTCTCATACTTACATCACTTGCTAATTCATTTGCTTTCTTGGCATTTTGATAAGCTGGAGTGATCATAGCAGGAAAGCTTCCTTTCCCTCTGCGTTCTTCATACTCATCCATATAATCCTGAAGAAAATTCAGTGTTTACTCATCGTACAAGAGCAGGTGGGGCCTTGGGTGATTTCATAAATCCCCGTAGTCCTTTTTAGTAGGAAAATTCATTGCTTCATTGTACAGATAGAAAGGACTATAAACACTTGGGGGTATCTCTCCTGTGACTTCTCATGCAAAACAATCCAGTGTAGGTCATTTTGTGCACCATCAATGTCACATGATAAGATAGGCCATATCATAATTTTGTGAACAATATAATGTAGTTACAGTTATTGGATCTAAATTATTCTATATAAAATAAAAAAATATCCTTGACCAATCAGCTGAGTTAGTTTTTTAAAATCCCATTCATAAGTTTGAATTCTTCAGACTAACTTGCCATTTTCTTTTTCTTCTAACTTTCTCAAATACATTTTTATCTCATTTCTAATATTGCCCATATTACAAAACAGCATTGTCAAAGTTCCAGATAATTAATTTTAGCCAATTCTAAGATTTTTAAACATGAACAAAGCAGGTGTTCAGCACACAGGGATTTTACAGTAAGATTCCTTAAATTGTCTCATGTTATATATATATCTGTATGATGTACCCTCATGATCTCAATAGTTAGAAATCTAATCCCTTTACCCATGTTAATGCACGCTTCGCTCAGAAAGATCCATTAATTTCAGTGGCTCTATTTTATTTGAATAAAAATATCAGAATTCAATCTATGAAGATTAAAAATCAAATTAAATTTGAAGTCTGTGACTGAAGTTTCAAAGATACTTTCAAAGAAAAAAACTTAAATTAATTCTAAAGATATCAGCATTCCAATGCTTGAAAATGCAATTGGCACTTTTTCAAATTCATTTTATTTGTTTATTCTTACTGAAACTTGTAGTAGTTCAAAAGACAGAAACTAATTGAACACTTCATTGCTACATATTCTAAACTCATATTCTTCAAGGATGGTTTGCTTTTCAGACATTACAAGATGTAGGTTTGGACAGAAGAAGTGAAGAAACATAAAACTCCCAAATGTCTTAGGATAATATATTCCCTGTTCCTTCATTTCTCCAAAGTATATGGGTCTCTTGAGGAGCTAGCATGAAAAACCTAAGACTAACCATACAGTTTTGTTTATACAAACACACTATTTAATTCCTTTCAAATTCCCTTTAGCTGTATTCAGTTCTATTTAGGTGTACTATTTCCCTAACTTAATTGGAATACAACTTTGGATGCATTTTGGGAGACCACAATAATAATTGCATTCTCTTAAAAATGAAATAAAAGCAAAATGAATGTGACAGACCAAAACAGAACTAAAGATTATTTGGGTCCACAGATGCAGAACTACAACTTGACAAGCTTACAACACCACTTTTGTAGAAAAGCTGAAATCTAAGAGATCCTGTATGATCTTCAGTGCCACTTGCACATATTTAGAGCTGCAAAGCTTCTAAGATTTCTAAAAATACTGGCAGGGAAAGATGTTTGACTATCTACTAACTTTCTACCATTTCACAGCCCTTTCACTTTTTCTCCCAATTGAATTTACATTTTCTTGCTCATGGATTGGGAAAGTTTCCACAAGTAAACACATTTCAGTGTGATACGTAACAACACCGCCATAGAAATGTATAGTGCACACATGTACACAGACCAAATTTGCCAAGGTAAGGCTTACCTTTTGGAATGACTCCACCATAAGGTTCATGCAGTGACAGTGCATGCACCTTGTAGTCTCATCTTGTAAGTGCCAATGCCAAATATATTACACATTTAGAGCATGGTGCTGTTGCATACTACCTTTTCCTTTGAGACCTTGCTTTCTCATACAGGAAAGCAAAGTGAAAACAGGTCTCACTGCAGTTTCTAAAGTCTTGAGCAACCAGCCATAGTAATGATCAACATCAGCATGGGTATCTCTCGGATGTTGCATACCTGGCCATATTGATCTACATTTTCTCTTGCAAAAGTAACATCTGTTCCAGCTGTATGGCTGGCTTTTCCCTTGATCTCTTTTTCATATCTTTGATGATACTTTACCTAACAGAAAAAAAAGAAAAGGAAAAGAATCATCTGGATGAGTTTAGTCTGGTACACAGATGCTGCATAATAAATAATAATCAATGACACACACATGTTGACAATAAAAGATTGTCAAAATTCCCATTGCCACCAATCTACAGAAGTCAAATATGCCACTTGAAGATATAAAAACAAAACTAGTGGTGTACTTTTTAATAATGCACTAGGAACATAGGACTTGCCAGTTCAACCCAGACCATTAGTTCAGAGTGTTCACCACCCCCTGCTTGTCAGTGGCTAATTCCTGATGCTCCAGCAGGTTAAAAAATAAAACTGAGTGTAATGTAAATTCATGGTTACCATAGAGCACTTTTCTTACCACAGGGTCATCGGAACACTGTTAATAAATGGGCTTGTTTCTGAAAGATGCTGATATCCTCAATGATCAAGGGAATTTTAGGCAATCAACCTTCAAGTTTAGACCAAGATTTACACTAGCTTTGCTGAAGCCAAAATAATGCCTATAACCTTATGCTGCCCTTTAACCACAATGTGTGTTTGCTGACACAAATGAAGGGCTTTCCACAGATCAAAGGTAAACAAAAACATTTAAATATTTTAGAGTCAGTTGCTTTTGCCTTCAAAATTATAGATCTCTTATTTTCCTCAATGACTCTTAATGTTTAAATTCACTTCCATTGAGTTAGCACAATGTGTTATCTTCTCCAACAAAAAGAGCTTTCCTTTCAGTCTCCAGTGACAAAACACAATTAACTGTACATTTTGAAGCGATACTGGTGTCCTGTTACAATGCTTTTTAAAGAATACAGGGGTGTTGTGGTTTTGTTATGTTTGGAGAGGAAAAGAAAGCCAATAAGGATCAGTATACCAAAGAGTTTAAAAAAAAAAAAACAAACCAACAACAGTAAGGGAAGTAAAAAGTGGAATAGAAAGCTGTATTTTATAAATCTGTATCTATGTCAAATGTATGCATGTGTTTGTGTGTGTGTGTGTGTCTGTATATACTTTACATATATAATTGCTATTCAAGAAGCTACTTTCATAAAAGCCTCATCTTGCAAAAGCACAAAAGAAGGAATAGCAGAATGAACTGTAAGGCACACCGGGAGCATGGAAAGTCATGGCAAAGCAGAGCTCTGCAAACACAGCCCTCCCCTGATACAAGGTCACCCAGAAATATTGTGGATGTTTAAGTTAGAGCTGCACTTCACCCGCTCTAACTCATGCTGGGTTGGGCAGAATGAAATCAAAGACCTCCAGCTGACTCCTTATTGTCTTCCTTCTCATTTGTATGCAACAGGAGGCTGGGTAAAGGGGACACTTTTGCCCACAAAAATCCAGTGTTCATTCACAAATAAACCACCTAATTTTCTTTTTGTGCATAAAACTCAACTTTGTCCCTGCAAAAGACAATCACTTGAAAATCTGTGTATGAAGTGCACTGCTAGCATAATTCCACAATGCTCACAGAATTTCTGCTGGTAAACATTTTAATAAAAAATTTGTGTGAGAATTAATTATTTTCTTCCCAAAAAAAGACCTTGCTTTGGACACTTACATCACTGGCTAATTCATTTGCTCTCTTGGCTATTTGATAAGCTGGAGTGATCATAGCAGGAAAGCTGCCTTTCCCTTTCCGTTCTTCAAAGTCTTCTGTATATTTCAACTGTAAAAATCCAAGACAATTCAGCAGTAATTAGATCACATGTATCTTAATTACACACATAATCAATTCTTAAAGTTGCAAAGTCAGGCATTCAACGGCTGTCATCTGCCAAAAGGAAGACGAACCATGAAGTCTGAATCTACCTCCTTGTCTGTATGCTTTACAATGTAGTCTTTAACCACATGATCACGTATCTTCTGCAGGACCTCTGTGTCTCATTCAGGGAATAGGATGGATCACAGTTATTTAAACAAAATACCAAAGTTGTCTGCACAATGCCGGCTTTATTAATATTAGAGTCAGGCAGCTTCCTCCTTTACTTTGCATGGCAGCCAGTTTCTAGGTATAGAACAGACTAGCTCTCTGCCTTCAGTTCTGACAGCCAGCTAGTCCCTAAAATGGCCTAGAACTGGATATGGTCTTTATAACTGGAAGTATTAAATACTTAATGGTAAAATGTATCAAGAATATTTTAAGGTAATACACATTTAAAGAGTCTGCCTTTCAGATATTAATTTTTTACTTTTCTTTATGTTCATATTTTTAAGTGATTTATGAATGTCCTAAAAGCCACTTGCAGAGTCAAAAACAGGTCAACCTGTTTTGTTTCACTCACGTCACTTGAAAGCTGTCCTCCAACCTTTGCATGAAGTATATCTGGAGTGTCTACCACAGAGGTGAACTTCGAAACTCTCTCTTCATGTCCCCGCTTATATTCTACCTGAGGGAGAAAACATATAAAATGCATATTACAAACAATAAGTAGGAAATACGCATTTTCTATCAGAAGGCTTCAAGAGAAAATGAGCAACAGCAGTCATGACACTCTCCATTGTACAGTCATGCTGTCAGTATATTTAAGACCCAATTTCCTTAAAGTGAATGCCAAAAGGAGACAGAAATGGACAGAGATAATAAAATTTTCAAATTATATTGGATTTATGTGAGCCATACATTTGATTAAAATATTATGAGAATAGTCATTAATGGCCCAAAACACTAAGATCATACCGCAATGACAACGCAGACAGTGTTAGCAGAAAACAATAAAATACTTTAAAATAATTTCTACAGGATTTATTTTTACTCGATCTTTTTCAGTTAAATTGTTATTTTTATAAACAAGCAATTTTCTGTGCATATATTTAAAGTAGCTTGTATATTAATTAAATCGAATATTATGGTATTTTTATTTAATATTATGGTATTTAACTTCAAATAATAAAGCGAAAAACGTCAGATGTAAATAAATAGATTCATAAAGTCATAAAGTGAAAATACAGGTAATGAATTAAATAAACCTTTTAGAGTGACTTATAATCTCTTTTAAGTTGTGATAAATTACAGCAAAAGTGGCTACAGCTTTCAGGAAATAACTATATCCTATATGATTCTCTTCCCAAGCCAAGTAGTTTGTTAACACTGTTTCCTGCATCATGTTAAAGCTTTCTCACTTTGTAGAATTAACACTACAACAAATATTCATCATAGAACCTACTGTCTAAAGTGAGTGGCCTAAACCCAGGATTCTCCAAATTCAGCAGTCTAGCATACAATTAAAAATACTGTGACTTACATCACTGCTTAGCTGGGTGGCTCTCTTAGCAACTTGATAACCTGGAGTGATCATAGCAGGAAAGCTGCCTTTGCCTCTCCGCGGCTCATATTCTTCTGTATATTGAAACTAGAAAAATAACATTTTTTGTTTTGTTGTTACAGAAGAACCCACTGTAGTTTAATGTGATTCCTCTTTTAATGCCTGTTTCCTAAAGGTATGTATCACTTTATTTAAAAGTAAACAAGTTAAAGAACTTATACCTTTTAAGTTTGTTAGGTAGAAATATTACCTACATACAACAGAAAACATTCCCCATTCATATCAATTACCCACTGTTAATTGGCTATGTTGACTGAGTCACTAACCCATTGTATGGGCATAGACAGTCATAATTCAAAAGTGATTTTCATCAGTCATGGAAATACAGTCAATGAAAGGTCTCCTCTGTGGAAAATAAGACACGTTTTCCATCATGAGTTCTGCTCTACTGAGGGAAACACCATTGCCCACTAGATCAGGATATAACCAAGGTCACCCCAGATATCGTTTGTCAGTAGTTGAAGTGCTTCTCAATTACATAACTATATAAGTGTTTGATTTCCAGGATGGGCAATAGCATTGTTATGTGACTTTAATCACTTACATGGTTAAATATTGTTATTGACAGAAGTAAACATGTCAGTCTCTCCTTTGGTAACATCTTACCAAAGGTTGGCTTTGATGCACTGGTAAGTCTTCAGAATATGATAGCCCATGAAAATAAAGCTATTCCAAACATCAGCCCACTTACATCACTCAGAGTCTTCTGTGCCTGTGTTATCTTGACCATGTCAGGATCTGGGATGGTTCCCGAGTACCACGATTTTCCCTCCTCATAGGCAGCATAGTAAGCATTCTACAAAACAAAAGTTAAATAACTACCAATCTTCACCTGTGTTTTAATACACAAACAGCAGATCTGACAGAAAAAAAGTAAACATACAAAATGCTGTAGAAATGAAATTTACTCTCTGCAAACATACAGCACAAGGCCTATACTCCACATACCTTCAGAATACCAGGGCAGAGCTTGTATAACAAGAACTGACATCAAGATGTCAGGATGTGAGTGGAGTGAGACTCAAATAATTCCCCCTAGGAATCAGAGCACTTGTTGTGAAGCTACAGTGTCAGCAGAAAGAAGACACATTGCGTACGGCTGCACATGTACAGTCCAAACAGCTAACTGTATAGATACACTCTTCCTTCTTCATCTTCTGATTTTTGCACCCTATCAGATAATCAAGCTATGCAGCTTTGAAAAGTTTAGGCAAATGAGAGGCAATGGCTTTTTTACCACTGAAACACTGTGAGTAAAATCCTAACAATCAGGACTGCCAAGGCCCATCCTTGGTCTTTTGCAGGCTAGCGGCTTGGAGGCTTGAGGGATATTTCTTACCTGGGTGGCCAGTTGTTGGGCTTTATAGGCAGCTTCAATTTCTCTGGATCTTACATCCCATTGAAAGACTGATTTGAATTGTTCAGCACTTTCTCGATATTTTATCTAAAAAAAAAAAAAAAAAAGACTTGGTATTAGTAGTTTGTTAGTACAGACTAACACACCCTTCTTAGGAGAAGAACAAGAAGGGAGACAAACAAGGTGAACACAGTCTCTTAGTCCACAGTGATATGGAGTCTGCATCATCTGCAGCAACAAAAGGAGATGAATGCAAGACAAAACAACAAAAACAGTGCAATTCCCACCATAACAAATCCACTTCACTGCCTCCTAGTTTTGGCTGCACCTTCAACCAATCTAAAGGAAGGCTACTTCCAAAAACACCTCTGGCCCTACTAGGTGACCCTTCTTGTCTCTCACACACTGACACCATCAGACAGGCTGCTGTTGGCAAAATTATATCAGGGAATTAGTATGTAGCCTTTTGCTGTGTTAGCTTTCAGCTATGTCAGTTCCTTCATCTGTCTCACTGCAAAAATCATCAATACCAACACAAGAGAAGCAGAGGAACAATGTAACTGCACAGAACTAATTCTCTGGGTGGTAGCATCAACACGACTCGGTTTAAGATGATTTTGTCTAGTCATAATGTTTACCTGCATCTGTGCATTAGATCCCTAATTGCTACAGACCAGACTAGTTTTCAGTGCCAGCTAGTAATTTTGCCCTGAAGACACATTTATATAAGATATGAATGCAGAATCCAAGGGACTATGACAAGTACGCCTGATCCACCAAATCTCCACAGCCCACAAGAAAATACCGACTACCTTCTGAAAGCCTGCAAAACTCTCCATCTTTTCCTCCTTCTCCCTCTTTAGACCAACAGCACTTACAACCTGCTTATGTACAAAAAGGCTACATAGCCTGTAGCTCTATGTCATGCAAAGACTATATAAGTACTTCCTCCATGCCACCTATTCTTGGAAAAGAAGTCTCCATGGAAGAGAAGATTGGGCTTAGCCTTAAGGTCAAAACTCTACTCTCTAATCCATACCCAGATTCTCCCTAAGATTTTTTTTGCTATTATTGGAGCTGCACATCTGTAAAGGAGCAGCATATTAGACCTGAAATCTGGCATGAAGTTGTGAAAGAATAATTTGGTGTTTAGATAATACTTTTGGGGGAAGTAATCTATGAGGACTGAATTTTTAAGCAGAACACATCAATGCAGCATTAGATGAAAGAACTACCTGGTGGGTAATACTTTACTGTCCTATTTCCCTGCACAGTGGCCATGAAGTATCATGACTGTGTAAATGTAAATGACTACTATATTTAGTCCTGGGTCATCATTTTCCTACTGTTAATTTTATCATGACAGCACACAGAAATACAACTGAAATCACAGCTCTGTTTTACAGCTCACTCTAACAGATGCAAAAAATAACAGTCCCTGTCCTGAAGGGTGCAAAGTCTAAACTGGCTGGACAGAAAAATCACTGAGCATGTGTACCATTATCCTCATTTTATAAATTAAGTACAGAAGTACAGAGACATGAATGATTTGTCTGTTCACACAGAAATTCTGTGTAGAGGGAGGGAGCTCAATTTTATCTGCATTCAAGTTGGTGTCTCAACATAAGACTTATGTGAGCATATTATGTTAGCATTAAAAGAAACATGTGACATCTGTTACATAAGAAATAATCTTACCTAACAAAACCCCAACAAACTACAGTAGCAATTGAAAAATTTTCTCAAGTTGGCATTATTTTATACATTTACCAATGAAAAAGTTTTCCTACACTTAAAATTTCTACAGAAGTACTCCCTTTAAGTAAGTACTGCAGAATCAGCTTCTTTATTACCCTTAGCAATTTCCTCTCTCAAGCAGAACCTCATTATGTGATTGAAAAGGACAGAAGGTGCTTTAGGTGTAAAAAACAAGGGAAAGTGATCTTTGAGCTATAAATTGTCTGGCGTGTATATTCACATGCACTGGAAGTATCAGAGTCTCATATCACTGCCTAAAAACAGAAATAGAACCTGCCGTAATCCCAAACTCATTCCTGACCAGATCTGTCATACGCATTTTCAAGTAAGTGTAATAGTCACTGCTGAAATAGTTACTGCCTATGATATTGCAAATCCTGATGCATAAGAGTACTGTACAAGAATGATAAAGAAAAGATACAGGCTATTACAGCCTGATAAAGGCTATTAAATGTACATCAACTTTGTACAGCTACTACAGAACATCAGAATGAATATAGTACGCTGTAATCTAAGAAACACAACTTCCTTCTTTTAGTGACGGCTACTCACATGGAAACACATTGGTTTGCTTACTAAATATAGTCATGCAAAGAATAGTACTACTTTAGAGTATCGAAAGACATGACATTCAAGAAAATAGTATTACACATAGAGATGAGATAGCTATCAATTATTGGCTGTTACTGTGTTTCTCGTTTCATTAAATTCTTAGAAATGCAAATCTGAAACAAATATATCTGGAGGAAAACAATGCAAGACAGAAAAGAATGGCATTTGAAAAAAAAGACGACTTTGAGCACCCCTAGAGGTTTGCCGGGGCACAGCAGCCTTTTAGAGGATGGATGCAGTTAAAAGGGCATGGAGAGCTAGTCCATCCTTAAAGTTGTAGCAAAACATTTTCAGCAAAACCATGCAAAACTCCCCGGACTTCGTGTTTTCTCGCAGAAGGGAAATACCATCTCAGGTTTGTTGGAAGTACTTGACAAAGTATTTATGAGAACTTTTGCCTACATCCTACCGAGATAGAATTTATTTTTTCTTTTGTGCCCTTTGGTATCAGTTTCAGAAGAGATCATAAAGCAAGTAGGTCATTCTTGTTTCAAATGGCTGTGTAAACCCCCCTGATTTAGTTACTAAGTTTACATAGCTCTGGGCAGTATCTCCTGCAGTTTATGTGAACAGTGTTTCCATGCAGATTGTCAGATATGGCAGGTGAGAAACTGCTACCCATTTTTCTTTCCAAAAGTAGAAGCAAATTCAGATCTAACCTTCCTTTCTTATGAGAGAATGCATTTTAAAAATTATGATTCAAACCCCAGGCTGAGTTTTTACTGCTCTAAAAGAACACAGGAGGGTAAGTAAAGAATACATACCTACATTACGTAAAGAATACATTTCTAAAACAAGACATGAATATGATCTCAAAATGTAAAACAAAGCTAAATACATTTGGCCCTCAAGCTTCTTACCTCACTTACCACTTCCGACAGTTTTTTTGCATTCATATTTACTGGTGTCTCAAATATGCTTGTGAACGCATTGTTTTTTGGATTATGTCTAAAAAAGGAAAGTGTAAAAGGATATTAGGAATGTACCGGACAGTCCACCAGAAAGGTTCTTTCTGAGCACTCAAAAACACAATACCAGCCTCCACACCTCTATACATAACTTTTCCCCCACTCATACGCAGACCTGAGATTACATTCAAGTTATTATTGTATGGAGTAGGTGCCTAGAGCAAAATTAATTTTAATGATCGTCATATCAATGCTGTGTTTCTAATAACAAAAGAGAATAATAGAATAAAAAACAACTGTCATCTCTCCTTTTTCTGCTGACAAATTTGACAGGAATTGATCATTATAAAATAAAAACTTCCTAGAAAAAAAAAAAAAATCCAAAATCTGCATTTTATACATTTTCCTGATGATTAGGTCACCCTTGTTAACTCTTAACTGCTGACTTGGAAAGCACTGAATGTTATGGTTGGGTTTATTTTCTTCCCACAATACTGAATGGAACTTAATTTGGTATGTTTTAATGCACTGGACAAATGAGGAAGCTTTATATACAGTAACAAGAGTTTCCCATCATTTGCAATTCATATAAATCCAAAGATATGTACAAAGGCACTAACAGTACATAATTTCACATCACACATGGGACCAGGCTGAGTCCAAATGGTGATCTTCTATTACATTAAAATGACTTGGCATTTTAAACCTTTGCCTCAAAAAAAATGAAAGGAAACACACTTACGCTTGACAGTAAGGCTTTTTCTCATGGCTAACAAAGTTGTTTACTGTTAACATCATCTTGCACACTTCGCAGTGAAAACAGGCTTTATGCCATGTCTGGAAATACCGCAAAACAGAAACCAGAGAGACACGATTTGTATTTTGTTATTATTCTGTTGAGTTTTAAATCTCAGTATTGATCCTTAACATTCATTTCATGAATTTGAAGAATTCTTCTTCAAATATATGCCTATTATTAACTCACTTCAGTTCTGAACCCAGTTATGAGTAAAGAATTTTTGGAACTGAGAGATTTGCACTGTGTTAAAAGTGCTAATCTATACATTTATTATAGTCCAAAATAATAAAGAAAGACAACTGACCTGATCTATACAGTTAATCTTCTCAGCAGGGTAAACCCCATAGCCACATCTAGCACACGGCTGCACATTCATCTTGAAATCCACAGAGTGAAAAATATATAGGTTTATACAAAAGGTTCAAAGAGTATGAAAGTGACTTTTTGGCCTCTGCAAAGCACACTCTAGACGCTCCAGTCAAGGCCTTTTGCTGTGGTCAATGGCTCCCATTAAAGCTCTGAATTGAAGTCTCTTGCTCCGTTTGCTGACCTTCTGTTTCAAAGTCAGCTGCAGGCTGGCTTTTAAAGCCGCCAGTTAGTAAGAGTGGTTATTTTGGCAACTGTGTCAGTGCATAAGGGAGGGCAGCAATATCTTTCTTGAAATAGAAGAATGAACTCACAGAAACGAATCATGTCCATGTGAACGTTAGAGTCTGATCATTTAGTATTTCAGTTTTGCTATAAAGCCAGTTGTCATAAGCCCAGGATGAAAAGTATATACAGCAGCAGCAGCAATTTATCATAGTCTCTCCTCACCCTAATATACAGCAAGTGACCTCATGGAGGACTACCCTGTGTGTAGGAACAGCCTCATATTAGAAGGAGGTACCACCAGAGACACAGGCCAGAGATGAGTTTGGAGCTTCCTGGCCCTTTGTTGGATCTAGAAGAGATACACCGCCATTGTCCCAGCCAAGTCGTCATTTTTTTCCCTTGGTGCCAGCTCAGTTTCACCTTGTATGTTATGGGCAGCAGAGCAGAGCGCACTCATTTCTCATGCCTTTCTGTTTCACCAACCTATCACTCCATCTCCGGGTGTAGGAGGATGCACAGTGAAATGGGCAGAGCCTCTTATCCCAAAGAGTTCTAAACATAATGGGTACAAATCCAAACATCTATCTTCTACAGGAAAAACTTCAGAAAGGAACCATTTTATTTTGAATAGAGTGAACAAAGCAGCTATTTAACAGTGTTCACAGAGAGTAGGCTGGCATAGATCAGAATATAAAAATTCCTTAGCCAAATAATGATAAGGAATTATTATGCCTGATACTAGGATTCAAGCAAGTTATTAGGGTTGTGAAGTCTGCTCTGAACAAAAGAAGCTATTAAATTCTACCAGCTATAAATGGTCAGGATTTGAGATTTACAACTCACCTAATCATAATACGTCCAGCTGCAGGGCTCCATAACCCTGGGACACAGCTAAGAGTTATCTCAATCCAAGTAAAAGTCTACTTAGTCATCCATGCATCTGCACCATTTCCCATGCCTGCAGCAGTCCTGGGATATTGCTAAGTGCTTTCTTTTTCTGTAAATTACAAACAATTAAATCAAAATCATTTCTGGCTAAACCTTCTGGGTATGCTTAGAGAGCCTCCTATTCATCTCTCTATGGAGACACACAGTTCTACTTCCCTTATTACTACTTTTACTGAATGCTGACAATGTACTGGCACAACGTACTGTCAGCAGCTGGTGTGCCGAAAATAGTCTCTAATCTGAAGAGCAATGGGTATGGCAGAAAGTCCTGAAAACACTTGAGGCCTTTCAAAGTAAGTAATTAATATCAGTATATAAACAGATGTATTTTAATTAAAAAAAAAAATGTTCACAGAACATAACTTCTTGTATTAAAATAACTGCTGAGTTACGTTATGTTATTCCTTTTGGGATCAGAAGTGGTTTTGTGTTGACAAAGTTACATCACAATATTTACCATGCTCACACCTGTGAACCAAAATAATTTGGAAGTCTTCCAGTTCCCTTCTCACACAGCTTTTCATCTTGTCCCAGATTGCCATTCTGTTTATGCAAGTGACCTATATTAGGGTCACAGTGGCCAGGCTGTCCCCTCCTTATTTAGCACCGGGCACGCTACCAGCCGCTGCCTCTTTGTGCCCATGTACTCCAAGAGTCACCATATTGTATATTTTCTAGATAGTCCTAGTTGTTTTCACACTATCTGAATCCATGCTAGAGCCCTTGTCTCACACTTCGGCATGAAAAAAAGATGCATGACCTGCTCCCGTCCCAGCACAAACAATACATTCCTTACAGCCCTTCTGAAGGGAGTTCTGAGAGGTGCTGAAAGCAGGACATCTCTGAACCACACAAAAACACAAAGACTTGGCAACTACAGAACAAATCATTCATCCAGGAGTCACCTGAACACCGACACTCTGGATAGGACTCCAGCCTGGAGCACCAGTGTATACAGCCCATATGCACTGTGCACCCAGAGAACATATTAGAAGTCCCTGAGAAGAATGAGACCATGTGTTCCTTCCAAGAGGCCTGTCAGACAGCTAGAAGCCCTTTATTTCACAGATAAAACTTACCTCATTTCAAGATATACAAAGCCTGTTTGCTTCTTTTCACAGTGACACATACTATCAGCTTGGCTAGAAGTCAGCAAGCATGTTTTCCAAGCTCTCCTGCTTCCCGCAAGTTACAGCACGTTCAAGAAGAGAAGCACGGTAAGCCGCAATGCCCTGTACAGCTACTGTCTTTCCCAGCCATGCTGCTTCCCTCACATCCATTGTGCGCCAGTTCTGCTGGAGTCTATTGAAGATTTCCCCACTTCCGAGCACCTCAAAACCGTCCTGTTGCATGGTTTGTTCTTCACCACCCTGGCTTAAAACTGAGTTGCTAACAAAAAAGAGAGTTTATTGAAAAACAAGCATTGTATGGTCTCATTACAAAGTATGCACTGCATTTTGATCATGCAAGGAATTAAATCACAAAACCAGTGCAAGTTTGTTATCTTGACAAATCTTAGCAAGACATTCTCTTCAGTTAAAAGCTCGTTGTGGCTTTTTTCCTCCTTTAGTGAGGCCTCATAAAGGCTCTTTGATATCAATGAAAATCTTAAAAGGCTTTACTTAACAGTAGAACCTTAATCAATGTGGTTTAAAAGTACTGCAGTTACGTGTAAAGTACAAGGAGTCAGTACCTTGAAAGTGCAAATTAGTAGGAAGAAACATTGTTACCTGTCCAACCTCCTTAAATTCATTGAATTAACTGCATAGAAAACTTGGAGCATGTCTGCATCCTGAATCTGAATCTAAAAAGCACACATTAGTTACACAAAGTAACCTCCTAACAGACATACAGACATTCAAGTCAGGGCCGCCTTCTCTGTCACTCCTGAATAGCGGCTGTGCCCTTCCAGCCACGTGAATAGCGGGAAGCCAGACACCACAAATTATGGCAACCTTATCTTCCCTCTGTTTGCAAAAGGCAAAAAAAAAAAAAAAAAAAAAAAGGTGCTGCTTCACCACTCAAACTCCGGCTGTTATCCACTGTTAAAAGCTGCCTGCAAACGTTCAAAGCCCAGCCTCATCATAACCTCCTCTGAACCATGCGGTTAATTAGTTAGCTGGGCCTAGGGCCTTTTGTCTCACACAGCCTCTCCATGCTAATCAAATTTACCATAGTAGCAAATCCAGCTTGCAAAAACATCGAAAGAAAGCTGGAAAAGATTTATCAATGCCAGGATCTCCCAAGACTTGAAGAAAAACCTCTATGGGACTGCCTTCCAAACTTGTACAGTAGCTTTTTACATTTTTGTTGTTTTGGAAACCAACCAACAGCTGTTTACATTTCATCATAACTAAAAGGATTTGTGCTTACACTTTCCCTTTCTTGCCAGCATTGGGAAAACTTGAGAGTGTGGGGATTTTGCAATTACTTCTAATAGAGCAAGAGAAAGCGAGAGAGGGAGTAGACAGAAATGGAAAAAAGAACCAACAGGCCAAGAAGGCATCGCTGCTATAGAGCAGAAAAAGAACTGGCGAGGACATGCTACAATTTAAGCTGAAAGCTTGAAGAAATGTGTGCAAAGCATGCACAGCACAGGCCCTGTGCATACGAGACATCCAGTGTCCAAATATTCCCATTTATCATGTATTATAACCTAAAAATGGCCCAAGTTTAAAAATTGTAAAACACGGCATGCGCAACAGATCATCCCTGCCTGATTACAGAGAAATCCCACCCAAACACATACACCAAGCTGAGTGAGATGCATTATTCTACCAAATTTCATAAAATTGTGGTGTGCCAAATCACACCACATAGCCCCCATATTCCCCGCAGCGTATCAAACCCATCTATCCTTTCTTGCAAAATATGTAAAATTCTAGCAACTGTCACTGGAGGGAACACCTTGCAAGTCACTCAAATCCTCCATCCTGAAAGTATCCCCACACCTACCTCCCAGGTCTCAGCAAAGCCCCATCCTTGTTTTCACAGATGTTGTGCAGAACACAGCACACAGTTATTATTCCAGACAGGTACTATTTAGTTGCCTCAAGCCTCCTAGTTTGTACCTGCCATCTACCTTTCAATTTCCCAAAGGCACGCTCCATTGTCATCCTGCAACTGCTTAGGTGGTAGTTAAATGCTTGTTTTCTACAAAGCAAATATCCAGTCAAAGGCTTCATTGTTAATGTTTTTAGGGAGTAGAGTGAGTCTCCGGGGATAAGAAAAGGAATGCTGATGCTATAGGTATCACTCTGCTGGCTCTTCCCTCTGCCTGGTAATGCATACGGCCAGCTGTGCAATATGATACACGAGAATTTTCTTCCTTCCTGACCCTTCCCCAGGTAGCAATCACCCCATGCCCTGAAGCAAGATACTTCCTTCTAATTCTACTATCTTTTTAATTTCTCCCTTACTCATGACTGAAAACAAACAAGATTCTCTGAAAAATCTAGCACCTTATACTGCATTAAAATTGGTTAATCTAACATGTAGTTAAGAAAGGTATTGCAGCACACTGAAGAATCAACCTTTCTCTTTGTGAATGCCAGCAACCGACACGAAAAGAAAATAGAATCAGGGGTTTCATCAACAGTTTGAGTCATAAATTCCCCATACACAAACCTATTAGCAATCTCTTGAAAATTGGCAAGCATTATCAGATACAATAGTACTTTTTCAATTTTTTTTTTTAGAAAAAAAGCCATTTCTAGGTCTGCTAATTCAGCTGTGGGGACCAGATGGCAATGGATAAACAGTTTCATCAAGATAAGAAAGTCACAGCTGGAAAATAGCTTCTGGATTTTCTGGGTAACCCCCATACATATCATC